CCGCGCGCGGCCATCTGCAGGGCTCCGTCGGGCGGCTCGCCCGAGGTGGCCGACGCGGCCGGGGCCAACGACGTTGCACAGCTTGATGCACTGTTGCAGCGGGGCGCGCGAGATTGCCAATTTCGCGACGCGGCCCCGCCACTTTGCGGGCGGGCCGCGCCATTGGTCAGCCAGCGCGGCGCCAGGGCCAATAACGATGCCTGGATAGCGCGCATCTGCTTCTACCTTGAAGTCCCCCCGCGGCTGGCAGGCGGCCGCGGGGGCCCAGCGCATCTCGGCAGCGAGGCGCAGGAGCGCCCAGACCGGGGCGCCGATGCACGCCCCAGCGCGCGGGCAAAGGCCAGCGAGCGACTCGGCGGCGACCAGGCGGGGGCGAGCGCGCCGACGTCGCGGAGCCCGGCGAGGGCGACGCCGAGGTCGTCGACGCAGGCGCTGAAGAAACCTATGCCCGATGAGCCGAAGCTCGCGACCGATGGCGACGATGAACGGTTCGAAGACGAGTGCCCGGATAGCGCCGCTCACAGGGGGCCCCTGCGCGACGCCTGATGATGCGACCAGAGCCCAGTCAGGCGACGGCCCAGTGGCAGCACACCTTCGGCAGCTTCATCGCGCCGCCGTGGATGCCCCAGCGCTCGAGGGCCCCCGCATCCACCAGCGGCGAGGCTGCCGCGATGCCCGCGCTGACGCAGACGGGCCGGTCAGCGCCGGCACGAGACCGCGTCGACGAGTCTCGGCGTCGACGCCCGCCGCGCTGGCCAGGGGCCGGCGGCCGTTGACGACGCCCCGCTGCTGCTCGGGCGCTGTCTGGGCGGCGATTTGGCGGGGCCGTCGGCGGGCAGCTGCTGGCTGGGGCCAGCAACTGCACGTCGGCGCTCCGCATTGGAAGAAAGCGAAAACAATCAGGAGCGCGCGCGCTCCGAACTGCCGAGGAGCCCGTCTCCCACGGGGAGCGCGGCCACGAGGGGGCACTTGAGATCGCGAGACACGTCGTCGCCGAAAACGACATCGGCGCCGAGCTCGGCGAGGGCGCGTCGGAGCCACGCGGCGCGCGCAACCAGGCGCGGCAAGGGGGGCCGCTAGGGCCAGGGGCAGAGCCCCCCGCGAGGCGAGCCGCGCGCTCGAGCGACCCGGCGCCGGGGGGGCGCGGGTGGGCGGGCGCGCGCCAGGGGGGAGGCGGAGCCCGAGCTCGGTCTGGCAATTGGACTTCATTCGCTTCCCAGCAAAAATAAGCGCCCGGCGCTGCGCGATAGCCTGGTGCATCGCGGCGGGGTCAGCGACGACGTTCCACGAAGGAACTGCGATCACTTTGATAATGGCAAGCGCTGGGCGCCGCAAGTTCGCCGCTGCCCCCCCCGGACTCGGCCCGCCGCCGCCGCCGCTGACCGAGCGAGGCAGCGCAGGCGGCGCGCGAGAACGCGGAGGCCTTCGCTTTCCGCACTTTGCCGGGGCTGGCGCGCGCGGCAGAAGCGGCGTCGATCGCGTCGTCGACGACGACCCTGCCGTCTACGAGGCGGAGGCGGTGCACGCCCGCGGCGGCATTGTCGAGCAGCCCATTGGCGAGGGCGGCGATCTGGCACAAGATCGGTCTGGCGACGCTCCGGAGGGTCATGGCTCGCTTCTGGCGAAGGAACGAGACGTGCGATGTCGGCCCTGCGTCGGGCATCTTGACCTCTGTGTCGCAGGCCATCGTGGCGGCGACTTGCGCGGAGGCCTTCAGCGACCACTGCGTCGCGCCAAGGCTCATTTGCGTCGCGTCTATGGAGTCGAGGACGCGCGCGACGCGCCCGTCGCAGTGGAGGAAGTCGAAGACGCAGGCTGGGATTCTGCATTTCACGGGGTGGTTTCGGCGTGCGCTGGCGGATGCGACCTCGCGCGACCTCGCGGTCGCTCGCAGAGCCCTTCTCGCCCTCGAGCGGCGAGTCGCCGGCGACGCAGAGGGCGCCCATCATCGGCATCAGGTGGCTGGGCAGGGCGACGAAGCATCAGTCGATCGGGGGCCCACTCGCCTCGGCTTTGGACCCGCGCGCGGCCGACGCCGCGGCGATTTCGATGACGTCGCGGAACAGTGCGCGCCAGTGGGGCGGCTGGCACTGGCAACTCTGCGCTGCTGCGGCACCCGCCTCAATAGGGGCGCTGATGGGGCGAGGCGCGAACTCCGAGACAATGACATCACCAACGATCATGGGTCGTCAGCTCGGGCGCGGAGCGCGGGCCATTGCACTTGCAGGGGCCGGCGATCAGCAGGAGGGAAACCATGCCTGTGGATTTTGAGGACGGCGACGCCAAACTGGAGGCTGGCATCTGCGACGCGCTGCCAAGCGGCGCGGCGCGGGATAACGACCTCAAACTTGCTTTGAGGCAGTCGTCCTGGTGGAAACTGGAGTTCATGTTTGTCGTGAGGCACGAGGAGACCGATTGCGCCCGCGTTGGTGACGGGCTCGCCATCCACGATCACAAGCGAGCGGAAGGGCTTCTAGGCGTGCTGCGCCAAGTTGGCGAGCAACTGCAGGCCCTCGATGGCCCTCGATGGCGCGAGCAACTGCAGCGGACCTGTTGACAGAACTCTACTGTCCCAGAAAGCAATGTCCAGGCCCTCTTGAAGAGGGGTCTCAGGGACCGCTGGCTCCAGCGATAGCTAAAGCCACTGCGCAGCTGTGATGGCGTGCGCGAAGTTCTCGGGAAACTCAACTTTGAAGGCGCGGTGAAGTCCATCGTCCAATCCTCGGCCCACACCAACGCTGGACCAGTGTAGGCGGATCGGAGCCTCAGCAGAGGATCCCACGCGTAGACGCACCAGCGCCTCACCACGAATAGAGACGTAGCCGAAGGACCGATGAACGCAGAGGTCGACGAACGGATTTTTGCTTTGCTGGAACTTTGCGAGGCGCCTGGCTTGAACAACTTGGCGAACCATCTTCGGACTCATGTCAGCAGAGACGCAGGGAGGAAAGGCTCACATCTGAACCAATGCTTTTAGCCGCTTGACGGCGTTGTGCGCGAGGCTCTGCCACCACACCACCACAGCTGACCTGGAAGGAGAGGCGCTGGGCGGGGCCGACGGCGTCGAAGGCGATGTGGGCCCTCTCGACGTTGGCAGCGCGGAGAAGCAGTCGACGAGGACACATTCCAGTTCAGGCAGGTTAAACTCTTGCGGGCTGCTGCACCAGAGTGGCTCTGGATCCAAGTATATGTAACACGTGCCGATGTAGTTGATTTTGAAGGGGGGAGCACGAGCGTCTGTTTGAGAAACGGATCTTTCTATTTGGGCGACCGATGCGTTGAGAGTTCCGCGTTCTGCGTTTCCGGGAATGATGTGCGAATCATAATGTCAGTGAGGGTGCGCTCCGTGGACTCGTGCCTCATGCTGAGGTCCGCTGTGGTGGCGGCGAGCGACTCGAGGAAATCCTTGCTGGCGGCGGTGACGGATTTGACGGTGGTTTCGAATCTGGCGGCAGCTTTTTTGACTTGATCGTCCTTGGTTCTTCGAGAGGCTTGCGTACATGGGCGGGTAGCTCATGGGCGGGAAGTTTACCAACACTTTCAGCACAGGGATCTTGACCTTGCCGTTTCTCCCCAGGTTTGTGAGGAACGACTTGGCCGAGCCATTTCCTCCAAGGGACCCCATCGTGCTGGTGTCAGGCCCGCGGCAGCCTCGAGGGAACACGCGTAATGTGAATGTCAGCAGCAGGAGAATGCAGAGGCGATGGATCTGAAACTCACCCACACGGGCGCGAGGAAGGCGCATGCTGCAGTCCGATGAGGTCCCTGGACCAGGGGTCTTTGTGCTCTGCCACGGGCAATGAACATTTTGAACCAAAATGGTTGCGTGAGGGCAGGAGGAGGAGGAGATGCCCTCGTTGCCAGGACACCATCGCGCGATCAAATCGATACGCAATCCCATGGATGCGCTCTGCGCAAAATCACACTGCATCCACAACATTGCGGCCGTAGAGTCTAGTCCGTGAGGGCGTTGATACCCAGACATCCAATGTCGTTTGTTGATGAAAACTTGGCAGGCCAGCGTTTTATCCTGAACCGCCCCCCAAAGGCCAACAACAAACGAAGCAACTCCGCCTTGATTTGCGCCTAGTCGTAGGACTCATGCTTGAGGCCAGGCGATTGCACGGCGACTGCTGAGACACTGCGCGGCCAGTGCCGGGCGACTGCCCTATATGGATGTGCTTGCCGCCCATGGATCAGCGTCGAACGAGGGGGGGAAGTGAAAAGGTGAAGGCCCTCTCAGAAGGCGGCGGGACTTCTCTCAGAAGCCCTCGCACCTTCTAACAAGTCTTCTTTGTCTTCGGGGTAGGCTCAGAGGACTTCTGAGAAGGCCTGGGGACTTCCGAGCCTTCTTAGAGTGCCTTCTCCTTGACACTTCCCCCCGGGTTCGCCGCCTATTGTTGGCGGCGCGCACAACGGGGTATGGGGAGGGGAGAGGGCTTCTTGAAAGGAGGTTGCTTCTTAGAAGCGCTGGCCCGAACTACATCTAAAGACAAGGCCCGCGCCTTCTAAGAAACAGGGGTGCTTCTGAGAAGCCTTCCCCCCTCCCCCATACCCACCTCTGCGCGTGGCCGAGTCTGGGGGGTGGGGGGAAGACGCCCGCCCCGACAGACCCAAACATGCCATGTCTTGTCCCGGAAAGCCCGACCCTTTGCCCAGGGCCAGCTTTTCATCCCGAGCCGTTCGTTGACGGTCCCGGGGCCTGACGCGGGGTCCCAGCGACCGAACATGGCGGAAAACCTGCCCTGAATTTGCCATGCTTCCGCGGCAACTCAAGGGAGCCTGCCATACCATCTTGCTGGCTCTTGCGACTCGAAGCAAATCGACGCTAAGTCGACGCTAATCGAAGGCACATCGGCGTTATCTCATCGATTGCCAGACGCTGATCGACGCTAGTGCATTCTAAAAACGAGATTACGGGGGTATACTAGGCTCCCATGATTTGCTACCGAACCAGGCGCTGCATGTATGGGGATGCCCTTTTTGAGGCGGCGCGGAACTGCTGCTCCAGCGCATGGATGTGCTCCTGCGCCTGGGCAAACCGGTATTCGATCTGCCGCCGCGCCTGGGCGGCGGGCCAGCTTGCAAAGAGAGGGGGAGGGGGGGGCGAAAACGCCTCGTTCAGGGCTTACCTACTCCTGCTGCCCTCGACTCGCGCTGGAACTTCCACGATTTCTTCTGGTTTACCTGGATACGTCCACCCGTGCTTAAATGCACTTGGATGTACATCGATGTGACTGGATGTACCTCGATTGGTCTGGCTTGATCCCTGCAAGTCGATTGGCGAAAGGTCGTCCAGCCCTTGGGGAACGCCAAGGAGCTCCAGCTGCTGGCGGGGGGCGCAGAGATACGAATGAAACCACAGGGGGAAGGAGGAGGAGGAGGTGGAGGAGCTGGAGGAGATGGAGGAGGAGGTGGAGGTAGACTCAGACATGTTCGCGTCTCGACAAAAAATACAGACGGTGCTTGGCCGTTTTCAGCCTCCAGGGGCGCTCGCCAGGCTGTGGAACAACGTCTTGGGATGAAAAACCGGCCCTGGGGAAAGGGTCGGGACTGCTCGGAACTCCGCTATTAGATAAAAATCTCCTGTGTCTGGGGAGCCACTCGCGCACTGCTGCCACCTGCAGCTCGAGATAACTCTGAAGAGCCCCACCAGCGGAACTCAAAAGTATCTGCGCTATTACTGCGTCTGCAACCTGAGAGCGCCACGCGAAAGTAAACAAGAGGAGGAGGAGGAGGAGGAGGAGGAGGAGGAGGAGGAGGAGGAGGAAAGAGTTCTCCCTCTCCTCCTCCTTCGCCTCATCCTCCTCCTATTCCTCCTCCTCCTCCTGGAACTGAAACTGAAACTGGAACTGGAATGGGGCGCAAAGCTGCCCGCATACTGGATATGCTACACAGCACGCCGCTAGCACGCGCATTATCCGTCTCCCCCTTGTCTCGGGCACACCGTAATATGGATCGCCCCCCCCCCCCGAAAAATGATGTCACTGCCGCCTCATGTGGCGACGGAACGCGTCGATTCGGTATGGAAACGGTGCCCGTCACTGATCCACGCTGCCTTAATCCATTTTGCGTTCCCTCCTCCTCCTCCTCCTCCTCCTCCTCCTCCTCCTCCTCCTCCTCCCTCCCTCCCTCCCTCCCTCCCTCCCTCCCTCCCTCCCTCCCTCCCTCCCTCCTCCCTCCCTCGAGGTCGCAGTCTCTGCGCTCTCCAGGCCGCGGTCTACTACTGCTCCTGTGTTTGAAACAAAAAAGGAGGGGGGAGAGACAGGCGGAGGAGGACGAATGGCGAGAAGATGGAGGAAAGAGGAGGGGGGAGGAGGGAGGAGGGAGGAGCGAGGAGGAAAGGGAAAGAGGAAGAGGATGGGGAGGAGGAGGATGAGTGGGAAGGAGGATGGCGGAAGACGGAAGGCAAAGGAGTGACGTGAAAAAAAAGAGGACGAGGAAAAGGAGGGAAAGCAGGCGCGTTGAGGATGAAAATAGAAGTGGCGACGAGGAGAGGAAGGCAGGAGGACAAGGAGGGCGGAGAAAGGAGAGAGAAGAGTGGGCAAGACAAGTGCGCTCACGCCACATCTGACATCGGACCCTTCCCACCCATCCCTTACTCTTGGGCTGAATGTTGTTTCTGTCCGTCGAATCGAATGTCCTGGAGGACCTTAATGTTCAAATCGCAGTTGCAGGATTGCTTCATCGTTTGCTGCGCAATCTGGCGAACGAGGAGGAGGACGAGGAGGAGGCGGAGGAGCAGCAGCAGCAGCAACAGCAGCAGCGCCCTGCGCTGTGACCTTCGAAAGAGCGCGCCCGCAGCGGCGGGAATACGGAAAGGGGGGGCCCACAGCTTCAAGCTCCCCCCCCCCTCCCTTCCAAAGGGGGGGAGCTTCCGAAGCTACCCCCCACCCCCCTCCCTTCTGTAAGGGTTTCTAAGCTAGGGGGGTCCTGGCTGAGGGGGGGGGCTTCGACGCTATCCCCCCCCTCCCTCCCTTTTCCGGGGCAGAAGGTGAGCTCGGACTTCCCTTTCAACGGGGGGGGGGCTTCGGAAGCTACCCCCCAAACCTTCCTTTTTTGGTCTCGACGCATGGGGGGGCGGCTTCAAGCTACCCCCCTCCACCCTCCTTTGCAAAGGGAGGGGCTTCCAAAGCTACCCCCCCTCCCTTCCGGGGCTATGGCAAAATTGTTAAAATCCAGCAGACAGGTGCGCACCGCAGCGCTAGAGAACGCATTGGAGAATAACATCGACCCTTGGATCGTTTTCTCGTGTTCTCCGTTCCTCGGCCCCTGGATTGTGGTCTTTTTTCTTTGACCCTACATTCCTCGTTTTCTCGTTTTCTCGGCCCCTGGGTCGTGGTCTCGTTTTCTCTGCCCCTGGTTCGTTTTCTTGTTCTCTCGTGTTTTCGGCCCCTGGGTCGCGGTCTCGTTTTCTCTGACCCTGGTTCCTGTTCTCGGTTTCTCGTTTGTCGGCCTCTGGGTCGTGGTCTCGTTTTCTCTGACCATGCTCAATTGTCTCGTTTTCTCGTTTTCTCGGCCCCTGAGTCGTGGTGTTGTTTTCTCGGGCGCTGGTTCGTATTATCGTTTTCTCGTTGCCTCGGCCCACTGGTGGTGGTCTCGTTTTTTCTGACCCTGCTTCGTTTTCTCGTTTCCTCGTTTTCTCGGCTCCTGGGTCGTGGTCCAGTTTTCTCGAACCAAGCGTTTTCTGGTGATCTCGGCCCTTGGGTCGTGGTTTCGTCGGACACTGGTCCGTTTTCTCGTTTTCTCGGCCCCTGGGTCGTGGGTCGTTTTTGCCTGTTCTCGTTTCCTCGGCCCGTGGGTCGTGGTGTTGTTTTCTCGGGCGCTGGTCCGTTTTTTCGTTTTTGTTTTCTCGGCCCCTGGGTCGTGGTCTCGTTTTCTCGGACCCTGCTTCGTTTCCTCGCTTTGTCAGCCCATGGGTCATGGTCTCGTTTTCTCTGACCCTGTGACGTCGTCGTTGTCGTCGGTCGTCGGTCGTGCGTCGTCCGTCTTCGTATGACCTCGTCCTCGTCGTGACGACCACGACAAGGTCATACGAAGACGGCGACAATGACGGCCACGGCGGCGACGACGACGACGAGGACGACGACGGCGTCGCACGAATACGTCGAGCGACAGCGACGGCAACGACGACGGCGACGGGGGAGGATCGCCCGGCAGGGGGAGTTCAAGGGAGGGGGGTGGTAGCTAATTAAGCCGCCCCCTCCCTTTCGGAAAGGGGGGGGGGTAGCTTTCGGCAGAGGGGAGACACATGGAGGGAAGGGAAGGGGGGGCTTTCGGCAGAGGGGGGTCAAAGGAGGGGCGGGGTAGCTAAGCTCCCCTCGCCTTTCGCAAGGGGGGGGGGAGCTTCCCGGGTGCCGAAAGTGGGGGGGGGGGCTGCCAAGCCCCCCCCCCTTTGAGAACCAAGTGGGGAAAGGGCGGGCAGCTTCCGGCAGAGGGGGTCAAGGGGAGGGGGGGGGGGGTAGCTAAGCCCCCCTCCCTTTGGAAAGGGAAGGGGGGGTAGCTTCGGAGCGGCGAAAGAAGGGGAGGGGGGGGGAGCTTCAGGGGGGAAGCGAAAAAGGGGGGGAGGGGGGCGTCAGCTTCCAGCAGGGGAGGTGGAAGGGAGGGGGGCAGCTAAGGGGGGGCAGCCCCCTTTGCTCCGGCGCTGTGGGCGAGCTCTCTCTGGCCTTCCTGCAAAAGAACAAATTGGCCTTTTGGTCACGCTCGACCGGGACTTGGCTGCCGACGTCGCACCATGCCCGCTGGTGCATCTAGCGCTCGACTGGGGAAAGCAGCAAGCGCCATGCGGCCGCATTGAAAACATCGGCCGACCACGCATGCTGGAGGCTGAAGGTGCCAACGACGTTAATACGGTGTTCGAGTTTGCCAACCCAGCAGCGCACGACTTCCACCTCTGCTCACGCGGGCTGCTCCTTCAGACAGCGAGGGCAAACCACAGGAAGCACCAAGGAGGCACAGTGCCGCACCAAGCTACACCAAGTCGCTTGCCCCCCCCTGGCACGCGCCAAGGGGCTGCAAACCGCGCGACGCTCGCGATGGACAAGCTCCGACGTCAACTCCGCGCCATCAATGCCCCTGGTAAGCCACCAGACTGACCAGGCTAGGCACGGCACCAGCCATGCCAAGACGTGGAACAGAAACCAGCTACATGGATGGCCGCCAACATACTGGCCCAGCGGCGTCGACCGATTTGTCTCAACAAGTTCCCGCAAGCGTGGAAATCGAGGAAATCGAACGAGCTGCCCACTGACCTCCAGCTGAACAACCTCGCAGCACCCACCGAAGCCGATCACCAAAGGTGCAGCCAACGCGATAAAGTCCCACGCAACCGCATGGCGCAACCGAGCGCGAGCTAAGGACGGGGGCAGTGCCGAGCTGCTGACGACTCCAGCTCCTGTTATCAGCGCACGCCACACAAAGGCCCCCCCCCCCCTGGGCGCCACCAGGCACGTGGACTGGCCCTCGAGGGGACGATGAGCCCGCAGGCGAAACCCCACCTGCGCAAGGCACACCGGTGTCACATGCCAAGCCACCAGACCCACCATCAAACGAGGACGACACATCCCCCGATGCCCCCTTCGACCCGGCACCCGACTGTTCGGGGGGCTCGGAGCTGCGAGGCCCCTGCTCCCCCGAGAAAACCGAAACATGGTTCGCGCCGGCGCTCAAGCACCGCTCGAGCTCATGGCGAACACCCGGGAACCGACGCTCGGGGCGATGCCGCAGCACTGGGGCCGGGGCCGCCGAAGGATCCCCGCCGCGGGAGGGGCGCTCAAGACGGAGTTCCGCCAAGAACTCCCCGAGCCTGCTCCCGAGCAGCCGCCTGCCTTCATCGGCGAAGCCCTCGTCCGCCACATCCGCGCCCGTCCTGCCATCCGAGCGGGGGGCGCGAAAGTCTGAACCGCCGCAGGGGGCCGCGACGCTGCCTGGCGGGGCCCTGCGCTTGTTCGCCGAAGCTCCGAGAGGCGCGCAGCGCGCGGGTAAAAAAGCTCGAGCCACTCCTCCACGCCCCCAGCCCGCGCCCCCGCAAGGGCTCTGGAGAGCTACCCGCGGATCAACGCCCCCCCCCCCTTCCGCCGTGTCCACGTGGATGCGCGCCTGGGAGGCACCAGCCCGCCCCTGCCTCGCACCGTGGAGAGCGCGCTGTCCCCGCCCCGCCAGTTTCGGCGAAGCCCCGCGCGCCGCCGTCAGCGACGCCAGCGCGACGCTCGCCGCGCAGGCGGAGCATCCCCGACGCCTGAACGAGCCACTCGCGGGCGCGGCGCTCGACGACCTGGTCGCGGCCGCATGCCTCAACCTCGCACTCCGCGCAGGGTGCCCACCCGGCGCTGCCAGAGTCTGAAGGGGCTTCTTCTACGCGAGCCAGCAGCGATGCATTCGCATGGGCGGAGCCTACTCAAAATCCCCAGCGCGCACCAATGACTACCAACAGGGTAGCTCCTTCTCGTCTGGCAACATCAAACTCCTGCTGTGCGTTTGGGCCAAACGACAGGACGGGCGCGCGCCGCGCCCCCTCGGCGCCACCTTTGTCAGCGACAGCAACTCCATCGCCCCCGCGGCCAGCGAACTCCAAGCGTCGCTCGGGGAAGCTGTCCTGCTCGACCGCACCTCGGCCCAAGAAAACCCACCCAGGCAAGGTGGCGAGATGGGCCACGGGCAAAGAGCTCCACCACCAAGCGGAGGCCGTCGACTGCAACGGCCAACCCGTCAAACGTCGCCACCAGGCGAAGCTCGCAAGGAGTTCAACGTTGTTCCAGCAGCGCAGGGTCCGAACCTCAACCCCTCTACTACTGCAGATGCCCGAGTCCGCCGCGCCGCGGCCAGACCCCCCCCCCGGCATCGGGCACGCCCCCGAACGCACCTACGCGAAAGCCCGCTCCGCCAAGCCCCTCGCGGCAAGCACGCGCACCACTGCCGCTGGCCCAGCGCCAAGGTTCGACGCCTTTACAACAACGTACCGTTCGCGGCGATTCGCCCCAAAGGGAGATCATAGATATCTCGATGGGCCACTCGTGCCCTCACCCCCCAGGCCACGCCTTGGAACTCGATGCCATCACGCAATGCAAGGCCATCCTCGGCCCGCGCATGCGGGCGCGAAAGGGCGCCTGTCTCAACGCGAAAGCCGAAGCGGTCCGTGATCACGCACAAACTGTGCGGCCCCGTAGGAAGAGCATGGCGAACCATCGCCCAACTGGCAGGGAGCTGGCCAGCCTGCGTCACGATGCGTAACGACTAGGGTATGCACTTTTCATGGCCGAGTATCCACGGCGGGACAGTTACGCACAAGCTCCGAGCATCACGGAGACGCGCCTTCCTCGGAATCCCCCCACCAGACACGACCTCGGCGCGGCGGCAACATCTCCAATACCTGGCTCCAAAGAACCAAAGGCAAAGCTCAACGCACGGCTCGGTAACTTGATTTCCTGCGCAACTACCTCTGCGGGGGTGACCGCGCACAGCAGAGAAAAACGGAGGCTGGCATCTTGGCCGACTGGCCCCCGCCGCGCTGGCGGTGCAACCAAGAAGAGGAGACGCAGGAGCATGCCGTTAGGAGATGTCCGAGCTGGGTCAACGAACGCATGGTAATCATCCTCAAAATCATCATTCACATCATTATCAGCATCATCGTCAGCATCATCGTCGCCGTCGTCATCATCAGCATCATCAGCATCAACATCATCATCATCATCATCATCAGCATCATCATCAGCATAATCATCCTCAGCATCGTCATCGTCAACATCAGCATCAGCATCATCACCATTACCATCAGCAGCAGCATCATCAGCAGCAGCAGCATTGGCACCACCATCATCATCACCACCACCTCCACCACCATCCTCCTCATCATCCTCATCGTACTCATCATAATCATCCTCATCATCCGCATCATCAGCATCGTCGGCATCCTCCTCCTCGTCGTCATCGTCATCAGCTTCATCATCCTCGTCAAGATCAGCAGCATCATCAGCATCCTCGTCATCAGCATCATCATCAGCACCATCGTCCGCATCAGAATCATCAGCATCAGCATCAGCATCAGCATCATCATCATCATCCTCATCAGCATCCTCATCATCATCCTCATCATCATGATCATGCTCATCATCAGCCTCACCACCATCATCATCATCATCATCATCATCATCATCATCATCATCATCATCATCATCATCATCATCATCATCATCATCATCATCATCATCATCATCATCATCATCATCATCATCTTCATCTTCTTCATCCAAATCCTCATCCACATCCTCATTATCATCCTCCTCCTCCTCATCGTCATCATCCTCATCATCATCATCAGCAGCAGCATGATCATCATCATCGTCATCCTCATCGTAATTCTCATCCTCGTCCTCGTCCTCATCCTCCTCTGCTCCTCCTCCTCTTTTTCCTCCTCGTTCTCCTCCTCCTCCTGCTCCTCCTCCTCCTCCTCCCATCCCGCCGTTCCGTCCCACGCCCACCAAGCCGTGGCCTGGCTCGGCGACTGCTCGCCAGACGAGGCGGGGGCCCGCCGCATCTCGTCTACCTGTTGCCGAAGCTTGGAGCTCGTCTGCTGCTCCACCTGGGGCGGTAATCCTCCTGACGCCTCCCTCCGCCACTATACCTTCCTCCTTCTCCTGCTCCTCTTCCTCTTCCTCCGCCTCCTCCTCCTCCTCCTCCTCCTCGTCCTCCTCCTCCACCTCCTCCACCTCCCTCCCTCCTTCCCTCCCTTCTCCTCTCCCTCCCTCCCGCCTAACCTCTTTCCATCCCTCTTCCCTCCGTCATCCCTCCTCGTCCCCAGCATCATCACAACAAGACTCGCCAGCATCCTCATCGTGATGATCGCCGTTGTCGTCATCATCGGCATCAGCATCATCATCATCATCAACATCCTCATCCTCAGCATCATCATTATCACCATCGCCGGCGTCAGCATCAGCGGCATCATCATCATCAGCATCATCATCAGCATCATCATCATGATCATCAGTTTCATCATCATCATCAGCAGCATAATCGGCAGCGTCATCATCAGCAGCATCAGCAGCATCAGTATCATTATCATGAGCATCATCATAGTCATGATCAGCATCGTACTCGTCAGCATCAGCATCATCAGCGTTCGCATCAGCAACATCATCATCATCATCATCAGCATTATCGCCAGCAGAGCATCACCATGATCAGTGTCGCCAGCAACATCATCATCCTCATCATCAGCAGCATCAGCATCATCAAAGTCATCATCATCAGCATAATCAACATCATCGCCATCGGCATCATCATCACCATCATCAGAATCATCTCCATCGGCATCACCAGCATCAGCAACATCATCATCAGCATCATCATCATCATCAGCATCATCATCATCATCATCGGCATCGTCAGCATCCTCATCATTATCATCGCCATCACCATCATCAGCATCAGCATAATCATCAACATCATCATAGCAGCAACCTCATAATGAGCATCATCATCACCATCATCAGCAGCATCACCAGCATCGTCATACTCACCATCACCATCATCATTAGCATCATCGTCGGTACCATCGTCGTCGACAGCATCATTATCGTCATCATCCGCAGCATCATCAGCATCATCAGCATCAGCATTCACAGCATCATCATCATCATCGTTGTCTTCGTCTTCGTCGTCATCATCATCATCATCATCACCAGCATCACCATCATCAGCATCATCCTCCTCATCATCAGCATGATCATCATGCTCGTCAGCATCATCATCAGCATCATCATATTGATCAGCGTCATAATCATCACCATCATCATTATTATCATCATCATCATTCACAACATCATTATTGTCGTCGTCTTCGTCGCCGTCGACGCCGCCTTCGCCACCGCTACCGTCGTCATCATCATCATCATCATCAGCATCATCATCATCGTAGTCATAACCATCATCACCATCAGCAACGTCATCATCACCCCACTGCCTTGCATCGTTGCTTCTCCACCCCGTCCTCCTCCTCCTCCCGTCTCTTCCTTCTTCTCTTTGTCCTCATCCTGTTGTAGTCGATGTTGAGAGTTCGTCTGGTCTTTCGTCGAGCCCATCTGAAGTCCCCCCCGCGCGAGACAAAGATACATCCGAGCACGTGTGCAAAAGGAGGGGGTCCCCCTCATCGAGGATAGTCGAAACGCATGCAGAGAAGAAAGAGCAGCAGAAGCACAGGCAGAGAGACAGATCGGGATAAGAGGAGGTTTATCTCGTTAGCCTCTGGGCCTCTAGGCTCGACATGGTTCGGTAAACTTCTTTGTCGTCTCGGTTCTGCTAAATCTCTCTTCCATGAAAAACGCAAACAAACCTAACTCTATCAAACTATGAAATGCCAACTCCCACAATACCTGCTGACCGCTGGAACATGCCCCGCAAGTCATGCGTCCGTAAAAATGATGCACACACAACTGCAGAGGACTCGGGCTTTTAGATCCTGCTGCGCAGCTGCGCTCGCTACGTCCCAGCTGATTATTTCTCGGCCTTGATATTATTCTGGTGGTGTCTCGATTCCTTGTCAATGGCCTGCTGCCGCACTGATATGTGTGAAGAGTGCACTCCCCTGCCCCTCTGCCGCCCGTGCCGCCGTGTACGCATGATGCACATGCTTTTCATGTTTGTGGCGTGCACGCTGCCCGCCGCTGTTTTGGCCCTAGTCCTAGGGCCCTGGGACCGCACCCGCAGTTGGACTGCCGCGCGGTCCGAGCTAAAAGAACTGCACTGACATTGGTAGCGGAGCTCGTAAGCTCCAGCGGACGCACTGCGTGCTCTGCTTGGGTGGCTGCGACCACCCGCGCGCGCCGCCATGGCCGGCAGCCAGGACGGCGGCTCGGACGCGGAGGCGATGTCCTCCGCCGGCGCAGGTTCTCCGGACCTGCACGCGGTCCTGCGCGTGATGGCCGAGACCCAGAGGGAGATCCTGGCCATGCAGCGGGATCGTGGCGACAGCGGTCCCAGGCGGGCACGCCTACTGCTGTCACAGGTGAAGCTCCCGGACTTCGACGGTGCCGTCGGTACTAGCACCAAGAAGTACCGAGAGTGGCGCAAGGCTGTGGAGGTCATCCGCAACCTCAACCAGCTCTCCGACGTGGAGCTGGGCCTGATCATCTACAGTCAGGTGACAGGTCGGGCCAAGGAGCTCATCGAGGTACTAGACGCGTCGGACCTCCGGCGTGAGGACACGCTCGAGACCATCTTCGCTATCTACGATGACGCCTTCGAGAAGATGGACCACGAGCGCCTGGATCAGGTGCATCAGGAGTGGGAGCGTGCTCACCGTCGGGCAGGCCAGCCCATCATGGATTGGACAACGTACTTGCGCAAGAAGCGCATGGAGTTGCAGCTCGAGGATCCCACTTCAGCGATCAGTGATCGCGCGCTGGCGAGCAAGATGCTCCGTGGTGCTGGGCTGTCGCAAAGAGAGCGAGCGCAGGTGCTCTTCAATTGTGGCGGCATCTACGACTCGAAGCGGATGGAGGTCGTGCTGAAGGCAGCCTACTCGAAGGTGCACGACACCGAGAAGCGCTCGGTGCTCCCTCGCCGCTCGCCGTTTGTGGCGGCGCAGCGTGAGCACGGGCGCTCCTCTGGGAGCTCGGGCGGTCGCTACCCGCACCCTCCCTTGGCTCGTAGGCCGTACGTGCTTCGAGGACGCTCTGGCCAGCATGTGCACGAGGTGGAGAACGGTGAAGACAACGATGAACACGACGGCGACCTGGAGGAGGCGCAGCACGACGACGAGGAAGCAGACGACCAGGACGACGGAGACCCCGGAGGGGCCGAGGGCACCCTCTTCGAGGACGGCGCTGAGGTCGACGAGGAGCTGGCGTCGGACAACGATGGGCCTGACGACGAGGAGTACGAGGCACCGGAGGATCTTCAGGAGGCGTTCTTGGCCGGCTGGAGGGCCAAGCAGAAGACTGCAGTACAGCGTCAGAAGCGCGGGTTCGTTGCCCCTCGGCAGCGGGACCCCAAGAAGATCAACGCCAGCGGCTCCTTCCAGGCTGGTCGCAAGCCGACGGACCAGCGCAAGGCTAACAGCCGGTGTGCTGACTGTGATCAGCCCGGCCACTGGCGTGGCGACCCAGAGTGCCCCAAGGTGAAGAGTGGCGAGCGTGAGCCGTACAACAAGACCGGGCCTAAGAGTGGCCAGCCAGCGTCGCCCAACCAGCGGAGCTCTGCGAAGCCGCCGGTTCCAAGGCAGGTGCATGGGCCGGTCATCCACTGGGTTGGCATGGCAGGCAGTGCCGAAGAGCGTCGTGGCCGCGCCCCATGGCGCCGCGCTCCCCAGTCGGTGCCTGCCCAGAGGCATTCGGTAGAGGTCCGAGCCGATGCTCCGGGGAGGATCGTCATGAATCCTCGGCCCAAGAGTATGCCTGCGCCAAGTCTACGCCGGGACGCCGACGATGGCCCCGGGCCCGGACAAGGCAGTGATGAACGTGCGCGCGCCCTTGCAAGGCGCGGGGAGGATCAGGAGGACGAGGATGCATGCGTGCGTTGCCATCGCATCCTGGCCAACACCCACCCAAAGGGGCACAGCGTGGAGTTGGAGTTTCCTGACCTTGCCACGGTCCATCACATCGTGGAGCGTGTGACGAACAAGAAGCCCATCTTCTTCAAGCAAGGCCGCTTCGAGGCTCTCGACTTCGTCCAGGGTCGGCTCATGCGGCTGCAGCTGACCACGTCGAAGCCTTGTACGGCGGCTGAGGTGGATCTCGATGAGATCACGGCAACTATGTTCAAGATCGTGATGGGCGGAAATCGTGATACCAAGCACCGCGACGATCGGCGCGGTGAAGGCGGGAATCGTGACACCAAGCATCGTGAAGATCATCATCGAGATCGTCGTGACGACCGCCACCGCGATCGGGGAGCTGTTCTCCGTGAGCATCGCGCCCCTCCCCCGCCCGAGGCGGGGGCCTCATCGCGTTCGAGGTCGCGGAGTACACCGGAAGGCCGCGGTGAGAAGGAAGAGAAAGAAGAGAAGAAAGAGAGGAAGAAGGCGAGGAGCAGCAAGGAAGTGAAGAAGGAGGCCGAGGTGAAGAAGGAGGATGAGGCCAGCGAGGAGGATGAGGCCAGCGAGGACGATAACGATCAGCGGCGTGAGGATAAGGAGCTGCCGTTCACGCCGGAGGAGATGGATGAGATCTTCTGCAGCTGGTATCCGCGTCAGGACATCTTTAGGGATTACCTGACGCCGCCGGCAACCATCCACTTCATCACGAAGAACGACCGCATCGTGCGCCTCAACCTCTACACGCGCCGCTGCGAGAAGCCGGACTTATCTCCAACCAGTGGCCCTGCGAGGGCCCATCCTGTATTCGTGGTGGATACCGCAGCGGCGCCGTCGGCGAAGGGGGCATCGAAGACTAAAGGATCGAATGTTCCGGGGGAACCTCCCGGGAACATCCCAGACGGAGCTGTGCCAGGACTAACGTCCGCCGCTCCGACTGGGGAGGCCGCCGCCGCTCCTAAGGACGAGGACTGGGTCATGGCAGGAGCCTCCGAGGACGTGAGGAAGAGCGAGGAGAAGAAACGACTGGAGGTCTTGCAGCGTGACAA